CCATTGTGTTGTTTTTTTTATTCTTTTTATGTACACATACGCAAATTGAGATAGGAACATTACCCGCCATCGGATAATGAAAATTGGCTTTCTGACTTAATGTTCTTTACTGATATCAGGGTTCGTATTTGCACACACATGCGCAGCACATCCTAACATTTTACGCTCACACACGTGTGCTGTGCATATAAAAAATTAAAAACTTGCTCACATCACATGTGTGTGCCGTTTGGTAAAAAGCACGGGCACATGTGTGTACTTTATTTTTATTAATATAAAGCACACGCACATGTGTGTGCTTTGCGTAGAGAAGCTTATACACTTCGAATTCTAAAAGCGCAACGTCAACGACGTAACGTAGACGTAGGTTGACGCAGACACGATCTACCTTATGGGATTTGCGTGTTAACAAAAACTCACCACCGCATGGCGGTGACGTTGCCGTTGCTTCTCTCTCTCTATCACCCTGCAAAAATCGCGACTACTCCATGCATGCGTGTAAAGAGTACTCCCTAAGGACCAAAGAGTACTCCAAAATTAACCATAATTCATATAAAAAATATGGTCCAATTAACATTGCGATGTCCTAGGGCAGGACCATATACTCCATCCCTGCATTACATCAGAGTAGCACAAAACTACTCCAACATATTAACAATGGCATTGTTGTTATATTTTTTCGTTTGTACACGCTTTTGTTATTCACTTCTCAAATGCTTTTTCGAAATTAATAAAAACCAAGACAAAAATTTAAAATTACATGTTGCCTCTGACGGTATTCGAACCCGAACATGCTGGGAGCTAAGAACTAACAGCGAGCAGCTACAGCCAGACATGCAAATGTGCTTTCAAATGCTCAACTTCAATCACGTTTCGTTAAAACACGAGCAGTGATCGGATAACCCTGCAAAAATCGCGACTACTCCATGCATGCATGTAAAGAGTACACCCGGAGGACCAAGGAGTACTCCAAAATTAACCACAATTCATATAAAAAATATGGTCCAATTAACATTGCGATGTCCTAGGGCAGGACTATATACTCCATCTCTGCATTACATCAGAGTAGCACAAAACTACTCCCAACATACTCCATTGTCGTTATATTTTTTCGTTTGTACACGCTTTTGTTCTTAACTTCGCAGATCCTTTTTTTGAAATTAATAAAAACCAAAAACAAAAATTAAAAATTACATGTTGCCTCTGACGACATTCGAACCCGAACATGCTGGGAGCTAAGAACTAACAGCTAGCATCTATACACGTTCAGCTACAGCCAGACATGCAAATGTACTTTCAAATGCTTAACTTCAATCACATTTCGTAAAAACACGAGCAGTGATCGGGTAACAATAAGCTGGTGCAGAGACACGAGTTGGTCCGCTACAGCATGACAGAGGAGCACTTTTGTAAGTACTCCAATATACCACAAATAGACTACATGGTCCAACGATTTTTGCAGGGAACAAACAATAAGCTGGCGCAGAGACACGAGTTGGTCCGCTACAGCATGACAGAGGAACACTTTTGTAAGTACTCCAATTTACCACAAATAGACTCATGGTCCAACGATTTTTGCAGGGCAACAGTAAATTTTATATGCTGCTACGTACGTCAACCTACGTTTACGCTACGTCGTTGACTAACTGCGCTTTAACTCAAATCTTAAGGCGCTGGACCAATGCAGGCTTGCTTTGGGCGCTTTGCTGACTTCAATTTGCTTTGATGTACTTTGAAAACTTGCTTGGCCGAATGGTGGCTTGGAACGCTGTCAAAGTAACCAGCTTTCTGGTTGAAAAGTCAATGCCTGTTCCCTTAACGTTAATAATTATTTCCTAGAAAACTCTAAAATATGTATCAAAAACTTTCAGATTTATTTTTAAATTAATGCGAAATAATGTTTGTATTTAAAAGAAATGATAATAATGATACATACATATCTATATCTACATTTACTAAAAAAAACTATAACTTAAAAAAACGATTTACTTGAAGAAAAGAGCTATAAGAAGTTTTTTCCTCTCGTGTAAAATACATACACAAAAAACCAAAATTTGGAAGTCAGTAGCTCATCATTGGCAAATCAAAGGCAACATACAAATATTTAGTACGCAATTTCTGCAGCATTTCAGAATAGTTTCAGTTGAACATAAGCAACATATTATAAAAAGCAACAAGGCTGCAGGATTTCGGTAATTAATACGTAGCTCAAACTAAAGAACTGCAAAATTCAACATTTTCTGTAAAAATGTCTTTCAAAAATTTCATGCATTGCTATGCCATGTCAACTCAAACAAGGTGTTATGCCATGCCATTCCATCTCAAACATAATAGGGGTATTCTCGAAGTATTGCACGATGCACGTATTGCACGAAATGCAAAAATACTATCCCAAATTTCGAAGAGTACGAGAGCACCCCATTGCAAAGTGGTAGAATGCATGCGTAGCAAGCAGCGAAATTATGTATCAAATACAATAACAAGAGACAGCAGAAAAAAATGAAGTGAGCGAGATGAGAGGAATGAGAGAAATATGTAGCAATTCCAACAACAAAACAACTAGCACAGGGTCGCATATATCTTGCTATGCTATTTTGCAAAATATATACATGGGTTTCGACGTTGCATATTTTGCAGCGATAGGAAATGTCGTTTCCCATGTATTTTGTTGTTGTGTGTTTGCAAGTTATGCAATCCATGCAATCCGTGCTACGTGCAATGGCTTTGCAAGATTTGGAGAATACCCCTACTGTTTTAGAATGTCGTTGCTACTTAGCTAAGCTGTTGTGCTTCTGCAGCATATTTTTAATACTGTTTGATCCTGCCTTGGATGAAAATATATACAGGTTTTTAATTAGACAATTCTTTAATGCATTTTACTTTAATAGGTGCTTAAAAAATTTACAAAATCTCTTCCGTATGTAAAATGTAATTAATAATTAATAATGCTGACTATGTCGCATGTGTCGCATATGTTGCTTGTGTTGACATGCATAGATTTGATGAATGATTTGATTTTAATTATTCGACAGTGTCTTCATATGTTATTGTGAAACATGTATGAGCGACATAATATGAACTGGCACTTGCATGTTGTGACACGTGTTGCTATGTTTTATAGTTCAACATTTGCAGGCCTTTAGCTCGAACACACCGAAGTTCTTTAAATTTATCTATCTATTTATTTTTCTATGCCCTCTTTGGACTTAGTAAATCCTCGAAATACGTAAAAGTAACTCATCTGTTCGAAAACGATGCACTTTTGATTTTCCTGTGTCTTGTTCTTCTTTATTGGCGCTGTAATAGCCAAAGCGATTTTGGCCGAGTCCAAAACAGCACGCCAGTCATTTCCCTTCTGTGCTAACTGACGCCAATTAGAAATGCCAAGTGAAGCCAAGTCCTTCTCCACCTGGTCTTTCCAACGCAGAGGAGGCGTTCCTCTACCTTTGTTACTAGCATCGCTGCCCGCGTTGAATATTTTCAGAGCAGGAGCATTTCTGTCCATTCCAACGACATGGCCAAGCCAGCGGAGCCGCTGAATTTTAATTCGCTGCACTATGTCAATATCGTTGTAAAGCTCATACAGCTCATCGTTAAATCGTCTGCGATATTCGCCATCTAATCCCGTTTAGGTCTGTGAAATATCTCAGACGTTGTTCGTCCATAGGGCTACATCTGCTACGTATTCTTCTGCCCAGGGCTGGCATCAAGTCAAACCCTGGGCCAGAAACTTTCACCTGCTGTGTATGCCAGAGACGACTACACCACAACTCCATCTCAGTCTAGTGCAATGCTTGCAACGGGTGGAGTCACCTCAGAGTCTTCTCAGGCCTACGGACTCATCGACAGTGGACCACATCATTTGTGGCCCCTGCTGCTCAAACAGAGCTGCCTCCACGGCAAACCCCAGTCCGCCTGAGCAGCTCAACACAAACACCACATCACCACAACACAATACAATAGACCACGACAAACCATACAACAGACACAACAACCGCACCACTACCCACACGCCGCCGC